AAAAGGATGGGAGAGATGGTTCAGTGGTAAGAGCACTAGCTGCTCTTCCAGAGGACCAGGGTTCAATTCCCAGCACCCACATGACAGCTCACAACTGTAACTCCAGTTCCAAGGGATCTGGCATCCTCACACAGACTTACATGCCAGCAAAACACCAATGCATATAAAATAAGAATAAGTAAATCATTAATATTAAAAAACCCAAGGAATAACAGAGCTAGGCAGTGGTGGCTCATGCCTTTAATCCCAGCACTTGGAAGGCAGTGGCAGGCAGATCTCTCAGTTCAAGGCCAGCCTAGTCTATAGAATGAGTTCCAGGACAGCCAGGGATACACAGAGAAACCTTGTCTTGTGCCCACCTCTGTCCCCCACTCCCAATGACAGAGTTTATAGGAGATACTGATTTGGCAGAGACCAGTATGGGGACTCTCTTTTTATTTTCTCATTTTCTTCCTTGTTATTTAGACAGTTTTGCTATATAGCACAGGCTAGCCTCAAAGTTGACATTGTCCTGCTTCAGCCTCTGCAGTGCTGGATTACAGACCCGATTTATCACTTTGGTCAAGTGTACCCCAGGCTGGCCTAGAACTTTTGATCTTCCTGGCTTATCTTCAGCTCAAATGATTGACATGTCTCTTTCAAGCCCTTCTAATGACGTTTCTATACTTAAATTTCTATCCATTGTATTCCTTTGTTTCCTCGTGCCTCTCATTATGGAGTATGCATTAACTCCTTTACATTGCTTAGGATGCCAACAAAGGAAAATATCTGAAGATACTTAAGATATTGAATTAAAAAGTAAGAAAAACCATCAGTGAATACAGCCTTATAACCGTTGCCCAGTGCTTTTCGTTCAGGCTGCCAGGGTTCTGTGACCTTGGCTCTATTGCATAATTTCTCTGAACTGTGCTTTTGTTTATTGGTAAGCATGAGGGTTACAATACTGGCTGCACAGCTGCTTTGCCATTGTGAGGACTGACTGCTGTTGTATGGTGATATATTAAGAAATGCATTCTGTGCCCTCAGGTCCCCACACATAGCTCCAAAGACCCTTGCTATCATTCAAGTGATGGATGCTTTTGTAATTTAATGAGATGGCTGGGTGACTGGGAGTCCTGGACAGGATCGGGGAGCTGTTTCCTGTGTTTGGCGGGTTGAGCATTCCTCCTCCTCCCTCAACATACAGAAGGGGAGAAGTGATGAAAACTGTTATGATCAACGGCTAGAATTTTAAAAAAACCTCATTTTTATTATTATATGTGTGTATATATATATATATGTGCGTACCTGTGAATTTACATGTGTATTTGTATCTGTGTCATATGTGTGTAGGTTCCTATAGCATCCACAAAAGGGTGTTAGATGCCCTAGAAGTGGAGACACAGTTAGCTGTGGGCCACTTGACATGAGTACTGGGAGCCAAACTCTGAAACAGCAGCAAGCTCTCTGACCTCTAGAACCAGCTTTCCATCCTCCAATGGTCAATATTTACTATGTCATGAAGTCTCCCTTACAAGCCTAAAATAGTGTTTTCAGGAACTTCTGGACAGCTAGCAAGACATCTGGAGGTGTCTAGATTTTTTCTTCCTTCCTTCCTTCTTTCCTTTCTTCCTTCCTTCCTTCCTTCTTTCCTTCCTTCCTTCTTCTTTAATTTTTTAAAATTAAAAAATTTTTTAATTTTAATTTTAAATAGCTTGTTTTATATGTCAATCCCAGTTACCTCGCTCCCCTCCTCCCGCACCCCCATCCCCCTCTTCTTTAATTTTTGAAACAGGGTGTCTCTATGTAGCCCTGGATGTCCGGCAATTCTCTATGTCTCTCTGTGTAGATCAGGCTGGCCTCAAACTCACAAAAATCTGCTTGCTTCCATCTATATTTCCTCTCTCTGTGTCTCTCTCTTTGTATGTGTGTGTGAATCTGTTGTACTTTTATTAATTAGGCCTCTGAATTAGCCTATTCCAATTGCCATAGTAGAACACATTAGAGAGAAATTAACTTTCTCACAGGTCCTGAGGGCTACAAGTTGCAGACCAACTTGTAGCCCTCGGGGTTAGTTTACGGTGAGGCCTCTCCCCATGGTGTTCAAACAGCTGAGGTCTAACATTTGTATCATCACATGGTTTTTTCCTCTGACTCAGCATTTGTAACTGGCCTCTTTTATTTTCAAGACCACTTTAGTGGCTTGTGGGACACACCTGTAATCCCAGTGCTTTGGGGAGGTGGAGGTAGGAAAGTTGTGAGCTGGAGGTCAGCATAAATGACATAGGAGGACGATGTCTCAGAAAACAAACAAATAAACAACAACAACAACAACAAAAACAAAAACAGGTCTGGTGAGAAGGCTCAGTGGGTGGAGGCACTTGCCACCAGACCTGATTTCTTCTCTTTTTCTAGACTGGGTTTCTCTGTGTAACAACACTAGCTGTCCTGGAACTCACTCTGTAGACCAGGCTGACCTTGAACTCACAGAGATCCACCTGTCTCTGCCTTCTGAGTACTGGGATCAAAGGCATGTGCCACCACACAGCTACACATTGACGTTTGACTGTGACTACTGAGGTGCCTCCACACGCCAGTTTCGTTGGAGGAAGCTGTCCTGGAATGTAAGTCCATTTCAGCTTTGAAGTTCAAGGCTGGTTGACTCCCTTCCATAAGTCTCACTAGCCACTGTTTTTTTTTTTTCTTTTGGTTCATTCCTAGTTAAATATCACCAAGGCAGGGAGACTTAGTGCTAGCTGCATTTGGTGATTGTCTGATCTATGACTGCACTCACATTTAAGCTACAATGCCTAATTGCAAGACAAAAGGCCTTTTAGGAATCAGCAAACTCATCCTTGGGTAAGGGTATTTAAAACCATCTTAGACTTCTTTTTATTTTTCTAGAGGCAAGTTTATATTATAAAGTCTAAGCTTAAACACTTAATTGTTTTGCCTCGGTTTCTAGAGTGCTGGGATTACCTGCATATACTCCCCTGCCCGGTTTCTAGACTTTCTTTCAATACTGACCTTGCTTTTGAGACTAGCTCTGACTTAGTGTCTTTGAATAGGATCTAAAAGAGAGGCAGGGGATGTCTAGAGCCCCATGTAGTTTGTGGCTCACTGGAAACTCATCCTTGAACCTGAGAGTCCCTACCCCTGCGTAAGGCGGAACTTCCCTCACCAGTGTCCTTGGTGTTTTGGCCATTGACAACCTTCTCTTTCAACTTTACTGACTCAGTTTGTTTTCTGTGACAGGAGATATAACACACTGGCTAATCTTTAAGGAATAAAGGTTTATTTGTTTGCCAGTTCTGGAAGCTGAGAAGCTCAGCGTTGAAGGGCTGCATTTGGTGGAGTCCTTTCGGATGGGGATTCTGCAGTGCCACAAGGTGGCGCAAGGCATCATGGGACACAAGGCACCACTGAGAGACAGCTGGCTTTTTGTTAACAGACCATCATTAGGAAGAACCCATTAATACACAAATTAGCCTTTATGACCTAATTACCCCATAAAGGGTCCACCTCTTATCAGCAAATGACTTTGAGGCCCCTCTTAAGTTCTGGGCAGACAAACATTCAAACTAACCTTAATCCATACTTTCCCTGTTTGTTTGTTTATTTATTTATTATGTATGTAGTGTTCTGCCTGCATGTATGCCTGCACACCAGAACGAGGCACCAGATCTCATGATAGATGGTTGTGAGCCACCATGCGGTTGCTGGGCATTAAACTCAGGATCTCTGGAAGAGCAGTCAGTGCTCTTAATCACTAAGCCACTTCTCCAGACCCACACTTACCTGTCTTAAAGATCAAGATTCCTGGGTACGTGTTGACTGGCTCCAGCCAGTTGCCATCACCTTACTTAAATCCTAATGGCTTTATCTTTTCAAGCTTATCTTTCTTACGTTATTTCTTTTCTTGAGCTTACTGACAAAGCAGTATTAGCACTATTTCTAGAGAACACAAAGTGAGCTTTAAGCTCTTTGGCCTTAAAAATAGTACATTTCACCAGGGAACCAGAGGCAGGTGAATTTCTGTGATTCGAAGCCAGCATGGTCTGAATAATGAGATCGTGTCTCAAATTCAACCAGTCAATCAACCAACCAACTAACTAGCCAACCAACCAACCGGTGAGCCAGCTACCCAGCCACCCATCCACCCACCCACCCATCCAACATTTCTCCTTTCCTTGTTATTCACAGCATATACTTATGTTTAGAGACTCAGCGTTTGCCAGATGTAGTAGCTTATGCATGTAATTCTAGTACTTGGAAGTTGAAGCCGGTGGACTGAGGACAGTTTGAGGTCAGGCTGGGCTTTGGTGCGAGTCAGACCTTCTCTCAATGAAACCAGGAAAAAAAAAAAGGTTCAGCATGCACATTAGTGGGCCTGGGTGGAAGTCTGTTTGGTACTAACAACAGATCACAATATCAGCAATAAAAACCGCTTGCCCTAAATGAGACCAGCAGCAGAACAGTGCTTGCCTTTCTGTGTAAGAAAGTACTGAGGGAACTATGAATGAGTAGTGGAGACACGACCTACGAAGGGAGCAGTGAAGATGATGTCCTTGTAGATGGCCATTGCAGGAATGGCTTTCCTGAGGTGCCAGGCTCTGATGTGGCCCTTTAGGAATGGTGGGAAGGAAGGGAGAAGGCGTTCCAAGGACAAGAAGGGGCTGTAAGGGCAGGAGGCTAGATGGAGAGGGACCGAAGCTTTGTTTGCAGCAGATTTGTTGCTAGTTACCAATTATGGGTTCCTCTGTGGGGTGTATTTGAAAGCGCTTCACGTACATTGTTCTTTTTAATGCTCCCTTTGCCTGATGGTTAACACTGGTTGTCAACTTGACAGCATCTATGATCAAGTTGGAGATACACCTCTGGGCTTGTCTGAGGAAGTTTGTAGACTGGGTAAGCCAAGCTAGAAGACCTGCCGTCAATGTGGGTGGCGTCATTCTGTGGGCGTGGCTTAATGACGGAAGAAAGCATTCATGGTTCTCTGCTTCCTGATTGCTGGTGCCATGTGATGAGCAGCCTCTAGGTACTGTTCCCGCGACCTCCCTGTCATCGTGGACCATACCCACAAACTATGAGCGAGCATAACCCATCCGTAAGTCGCTTCTTGTCTAGTATTTGATCACAGAGCTAGAAAAGCAACCAATGCGCTTAGGACCAAGAAGCGGATGGCGTTGTTCTCCTGGGGAAACCGAAGCTCAGAGAAGTCAGGTCACTCGCCGATGGTGACTCAGCCAGTTCTGAAACCAGTGTTCTTAATCGTCAAAGCCTTCCTTGGGGGAAGCGGGTGTAGGCTTGTGGGAAGCAAGTCTGACCTTTGAAATGGAAAACACAGGGTGCTGCAGAATGAGGTGCTGGTTAGAATTTAAGTTTTCCTGGTCTTCAGCGCCCCTGGCTCACAGGAGCTCTGTTAATTTAGAGCTGACATTTAGGGTTGCCGCACTGTGGCGAATGAGTCCTCACTCTGCAGGTGGCTCTTTCTCTGGCAAATGAAAACAGTCTCCAATGCTTTCCTCAAGGACACGGCTGGAGCAGTTACTAGTGGGAAATATCTCCTGGGTAAAGGAAAGCAGAGAGGGGGAGTCAGAGAGCGGTCTGGGAGAAGGCAGAAGTGAAAGAGAGAACAGCAGGAAGCAAATGCGGGTGAAAGCAGAGGGCTGCGGTGACTGCCCTGCTCAGAGGCGAACAGACTCTGATAACGAAGGCTCTAAGCTGATTGAAGGACTGGCCCTAGCCGAGAGGCAGCCTTCTCTGTAAACACGGCTGCTAAAAGGGATTCTTTTCGGTTTGCACGGCACTTTACAGTGTGCCAAGCGCTTTCCCATCTGTTATTTATCTTGACGTCAGGGCTGTGGAGGATGGCATTGCCATCCATGTTTGTCAAATAAGGACGCCCCAGAAGCGGGAGGTCTTAGTGCAGGATCTCAGGTTGGTTAGATAGTGGGGACCAGAATTCAGGTCCCAGTTCCTTGAAACTTTGCCCCATCACACTGCCGGTGAGACACGTGGGGTCCTTACAGAACCATTGCAACTTTGGGAAGGAAGCTACGGGACTGCCTTGGAAAATTTCCAGGGAGCCTGTTAATGTATAATGACTTTAGAAAGTTTATTGAAGCCGGGCGTTGGTGGCGCACGCCTTTAATCCCAGCACTCGGGAGGCAGAGGCAGGCGGATCTCTGTGAGTTTGAGACCAGCCTGGACTACCAAGCGAGTTCCAGGACAGCCTCCAAAGCCACAGAGAAACCCTGTCTCGAAAAACCATAAAAAAAGGAAAGTTTATTGAAATCTCTCTAGCTAAGACTGAACCCACAGCAGAATCTTATTAATTTATATAATCAGCTGATGAGAAAAAGCAACTCTGAATGAGTTCAAACAGTTTAGGTTTTCTGGAACTCCTTGTTCAGGTCACAGACGACTGAAGATTAATCCCTGATTTTAAAAAAAAGCATAATCATTTTCTTTTTCTGTTTCTATAAGTAAAAGACTTTGTCTCCTTTTACACTTTGCATCTGGCAAATATGTCAGTTTCTCCTGGTTTGGATGCCCCAAGAGCCCTCAGAAATCCCGTTTCAATACTGAGTTTGTCATTGCTAATGATGTTTTTTTGCTGCTTTTTTTTTTCATATTGACATGCTGCAAATTGAGTTCTTCCCTTTGCTCCTCCTGGTGCTCCCTAGTCCTCCTCCATCTCATTCACAGTCTTTATAGTTCCTCATTGCTTTTGAGTCAAGCCACTGATATTTAGGACCTCATTGTCTTTCGCCGTGACTAGCACTTACTGCTGTGTAACAAGTTGCCCCGAGTGTGACAGCTAACACAGCATTCTGCAGACTTGTCAGCACAGAAGGAGCATCTTCAGGGAGCTTCGAAACCTCGAGGAGATGTGACTCAGCTCTCCCTTAATGCCCCATAATGGCAGCAGGGAGCCCGAGTGGCTGTGAGTTTTCTTTACACCGGGAGTTTAGAGACTGCAGGAAAACAGAAAGTCATTTTAAAAACTAGGAATCTGTCTGAGGTTCTTGGAAAGCCAGGGGTTTGCAGTTGTTCCACAGTTCTTTAACAGTGTGTGTGTGTGTGTGTGTGTGTGTGTGCACAGGAACACACAGGGTGCATGCATACATGCATATGCCTTTTTTCTTTTTGCTTTTCAGTTTTGCAAGTTTCTGTGGGCTCAGAAACTCTCTCCTTAGCCCTGTCCAGTCAACAAACAAGCCTTTCAAAGGCATTCATAATTCATAGTTATGTGTTTTAATCTTCAGCAGATCTTTGGACTTTCCTTCTCTGTTTACAACACCCATGTAATCATGAGCGCTGCCTGTTTTATCCAGACAGCTCTTAACCTACTTGTTTTAAATTCCCAGTTTGCTGATTCCAGCGTCTCTACCATACTGATTCTAATGCTAGCTGTGTCTCTGGAATGTATTCTTGCATTTTTGGTATGACTATTACTTTTTTCCTTCTTCTTGTTGTTGAAAGCTGGACATGATATATTGGCTTTATTTGTGATTTTAGAAACAGGCAACACTCCAGTTCATAAAACAAAACAGGCGTTCCAATGAGCTGAGCAGAGGAGATTGGTTTTATAGAAAGAAAAGGGCTGAAGAAAGTATAAATGAACAAATGGAAGACTGGCCATTTCTAAGTTCCTTTCCTGACAAGGAGGAGGCAGGGAGAAATAAGGATAGAAAAGGAACTGACTGGTTGACATCAGGTTATTTTGGCTTAGTATTTTTTGCAAGTATCTGATCAGAAGGTCCTTGATTATACTAACTGGAATAGGTTCGTCAGAGGGTTTGATTCTCCCTCTTCCCTTATGTATAAGAAAGCTAGGTAACAACTTAGTTTCTGGTTGGTGATGTGGAACTTCAGCCCTAGAGATTCCACTTTAATTTCAGTCAGGTTGCTGGGCGTTGGTGGTGCATGCCTTTAATCCAAGCACTCGGGAGGCAGAGGAAGGCAAATCTCTGTGAGTTCGAGACCAGCCTGGTCTACTGAGAGAGTTCCAGGACAGGCTCCAAAACAACACAGAGAAACCCTGTCTCAAAAAACCAAAAAAATTTTTTTTCAGTCAGGGTTATTGGGGCCTAGTGCAGAAGTATAGTTAAAAATAATGCCCTTAGCTGAGCAGAGTGTTATGTGCATACCTTTAGTCCCAACACTTGGGGCAGGGGCAGAGGCAGGAGGATCTCTGAGAGTTTGACATCAGCTTAATATACATAGTGAAACCCAGGATAGCCAGAGCCACATAGTGAGACCTGGTTTCAAAGAAAACAAAAACAAAAAACCAAAACCAAACAAACAAAAAACCAAACCCTCTTAACATGGGTAAAAGAATGCTAATACATAGACCTTTAAAGGTGACACAAAGGTTTATTTTATGACTTGCATCTCAAGCGTCTCACATAGACTCATGTTTTGGATACTTAACCCTCAGCTTGAAGGTCCTACTTTAGAAGACGGAACCTGACAGGCAGAAGTAGGCATTTAGTTTAGTTTAGTTTAGTTTAGTTTTGTTTTGAGACAGAGTCTCTCTATGTAGCCCTGGTTGTCCTGGAACTTGCTATAGTAGATCAGGCTGACCTCAAACTCACAGAGACCTTCTGCCTCTGGCTCCTGAGTGCTGGGATTAAAGGCGTGCACTACACGCCAGTCTTCTGTAGGCAGGCTTTGTCTAACCTGCTTCCTGTTTGCTGCCTTGTGGAGAACTGTGGGCACAGGCTGCCGTTGCCATGGCTTCTGTACCACAAAAGACTGAAATCTCTCTGAAACGTTGAACCTAAAGAAATCTTTCTTTCTTTGAGTTGTTTTCGTCAAGTATTTTGCTCACAGTGACATAAAGGTAATACAGTATAGGAGAGGGATAGACCCCAGTCTTTTGGTGAGCCTTAACCTGGGCTGTGAACATTGCATACCCTGGACAGGATGGCTAGAGTGTGCTGCCCACATTGTGCACCAAAATGTAACAGATAATTGTAATAAAGTCCACGGGAGCCCAGAATAAAGGCAAGTCAGGTATTTATTGGGGAGTCACTCATGAACTATAAATAAAATAGAGATCTACCACAGTCTTCTGCCCAGATGCACCGGAAGCTACCCTCTGATCTCAATCAGAGAGAGAGAGAGAGAGAGAGAGAGAGAGAGAGAGAGAGAGAGAGAGAGAGAGAGAGAGAGAGAGAGAGAGAGAGAGAGAGAGACAGTTTGTTCCCAGTCCACTCATAGCCTCTGAGGCCCTGCCCAGGAGGGATTGGTACCTCAAAGACTATTGACTGAAAGAGTTCCCACAACAGCTAGGGTATACTGAAGTAGCTGTTTCCCTTTCCCTGGGTTAGTTAATCTCTGACAATGGTCAGCAGGTTGGTCTCTGACTACAATGCTCTCTCTCTCTCTCCCTGTCTCTCTCATTTGTCCCAGTATCTCACTACATAGCCCTAGCTATCCTGGACCTAGTAGGCCAGGCTAGCCTTTAATTCACAGAGAGCCACTTGCTTTTGCCTCCCAAGTGAGATTAAAGGCATGTGTTTCCATGCCAAGCTAAAATGGTTTTTCTTTCTTTCTTTTTTGGTTTTACGAGACGGGGTTTCTCTGTATTGTTTTGGAGGCTGTTGGTCCAGCCTGGCCTCGAACTCACAGAGATCCACCTGCCTCTGCCTCCCGAGTGCTGGGATTAAAGGCGTGCACCACCACCGCCCGACCTCTTTTTTTTTTTAAAGATTTATTTATTTTTTGTATATAGTGCTCTATCTGCATGTACACCTGTATGCCAGGATAGGTCATCAGACCCGATTACAGAAGACTGTGAGCCACCTTGTGGCTGCTGGGAATTGAACTCAGGACCTCTAGAAGAGCAGCCAGTGCTCTTAACCTCTGAGCCATCTCTCCAGCCACCAAGGTTTTTCTTTTCTTTTCTTTCCTTTCCCTTCCCTTGCTCTTTCTGTCCTTCCTTCCTTCCTCCCTTCCTTCCTCCTTCTTTCTTTGAGACAGAGTTTCTCTGTGTGTACCCTGGAACTTGATCTGTAGACCAGGCTGGCCTCAAACTCACAGAGATCTGCCTGCCTCTGCCTCCCAAGTGCTGGGATAAAAGGTGTGTCTTATAGG